AGAGAGAGAGAGAGAGAGAGAGAGAGAGAGAGAGAGAGAGAGAGAGAGATAAAAAGAAAGAGTGAGAGAGAGATAGAGAGTGAGAGAAAGATAAAGAGAGGATTCTCTCTCAAAGGATTTTCATAGTGATTGCGAAGGAATTCTACGGGGTTTCTTTTCTTTTCTTTTTTTTTTTTATTTTTTTTTTTTTCTGTACCTTTCTTTTTCTTCTTTTTTTTTTCGTTTACGTGCATACATGCCCCAAATCTCCAAGACACGTGTGATGGCGAGAAAAAAAAAAAAGGAAATAAAATAAATAAAAAAAGAAGAAAGAAAAAGAAAAAAGGAAAAAAGTAATAATAAAAGAAGAAAAAAAGGAAAGAAATGAAGAAGAAGAAGAAGAGGAAGATAAATGTCTACTTTTACTGCTAGAAAGAGAAAAGAAAAGGAAAGATGAAGTTGAAGAAGAAGAAGAAGAAGAAAAAGAATATATATATATATATATATATATATATATATATATATATAAATATACATATATGCATATATATATATATGTGTGTGTATATATATAAAACGTAAATAAGGCTACAGCTCACCAACATCCAGGAATAGAGAGAAGAAGCATCGAAGCAAATGATAATAAAAGAAGCATAACTTACGAGAAAAAACCGGCCGGCACAGAGACACGCGAGTGTGAGGGGGGCCATTTTCTTATTTTCAGACCGGCGGACGGACGGACGGACGGACGGGCGGGCGATGGACGGGCTCGAATGCACGTTCTCGCCTAAGCTCCAGGAGGTTCGTTCAGTTCGTATCAGGTAGAGGTGGGCTCGGGCTCGGGCAAATCTTTCTCGATTTACGAGAAGAAGTGGGTCATCGTGCTCGTCGACTTGGTCGGTCCGTCGAGTCTCTGTGTTTATATATATCACGTCGTACGGTGTCGTTGTTGTTGTTGTTGTTGTTGTTGTTGTTGTTGTTGTTGTTGTTGTAGTTTTTCTCTCGTGTGTAGCATAGAATCGAGGAAAGATAGAGATAGAAAGATAGAGATAGATTTAAAGAGATAGAGAGTGAGAGAGAGAGAGAGAAGGAGAAGGGGGAGAGGGGGAAGGGGAATGAACGAGAATACAAAAAAAAAAAAAAGAAAAAAATAAAATATGTCGATATGACATAATAATATGATTTAAGGAAAATGAATTTAAAATTTTACAAATGAGTTGGATGTGACTAAGGGTGGATGGCTGGAAGAATTAAGAGGAGAGATTGTGATGATGACGATGGTGATGATTTGGAAACTGGTGCGTCGACGTGTGTTCAAAAATAAAAATAGGGGTATAGAGAAAGAAAGAAAGAAAGAAAGAAAGAAAGAAAGAAAGAAAGAAAGAAAGAAAGAAAGAAAGGAAGAAAAAAAGAAAGAAAGAAAGAGAGAGAAAGTTTTAGTAGCGGTTAAACGCTTAGCTTATAAATATGATCAACTGTGTGTTAGGACAGATATTGTCTTTCTATGTTTACAATTAAGAATAGTGATTAGCAATAAGTAATACTAGAATAGAATAGAATGAAATAGCATAAGTAGAGATATAGCGTAGATTTATAAGAGATCAAATATAATATAGGGTGGTCTTTTCCTTTTTTCCTTTTTTCTTTTTTTGTCTTTTTTTTTTTCTTTTTTTTTTCTTTTTTTTTGTCAACTAGTAGTGTGTCCCAAAATGGTTGTTCTTTTTGGATGAAAGAATAATTAACGTGAAGATTAAAATAAAAAAAAAAAAAAAAATTAAATCGCGAATATTGATGGTAAAAATTGAGAGAAGAAAAAGGGAATTGGTTTTGGTTTGGACGATTGTGATTGAGGGTTCGTGATTTAGGATCGTCGTTTGGCCTCTGTGTTTTTTTGTTGTTGTTGTTGCTGTTGTTTGTTGTCGTTGTTGTTGTTGTTGTTGTTGTTGTAGGTACTTTTTTTTTTTTTTTTTTTTTTTTTTTACTAGATCGGTCCATTGGATAATGGTGACTTGAGCCAGCTACTCCAAAAGAATTGTTTTACTGGTCGTACCTTGCCGTTGTCGGTATCAACGGACGTCGCCGCGCGAGCCAGGCTGTGGGAACGACGCGCAGGAGCGGGCGGTCGTCGAGGAGGAGTCGTGCCCGGGGACGGGTTAGTCCCGCCTAGATTGCTAGACTCCAGCGAGTCACGGGCCCGGGACAGCGAGGAGGATTTGTTTAAGGAGTCTCGGCTGGAATTGTTACGGGGCAGGGACCTGTTCAAGGAATCCCTGCTGTTATCCTTCCCAATGTTGTTGCCGCCGCCGCCGGCGCTGTTGCTGCTGTTACCGCTGCTTGTACTCTTAGATAGGCTTTTGTTGTTGTTGTTGTTGTTATTATTGTTGTTGCTGCTGCTACTGCTGCTGTTATTGTGATTATTGTTATTGTTATTCCCTAAAGATTCTCTACTGGCGTCTCGGGTCTTTGATAATGATTTCCCGCAGTGACTGTCACGACTCGAATCCCTTGGTAGCCTCGTTAAAGATTTGAGAGATTCCCTACTGTCGTTTCTACCATGACTTGGCGGTCTTGGTGCCGTCGGTTTCCCCGTTGAACCGGGTAAAGGTATACGACTAGGTCGTCGACGTGGTGATGGTTTCACTTCGACGGCTTGGTGATGATCCCTCGCTGATTCGGTACTACTACCAGGCTCTAAACCACTTTGTTCGCATCTTGGCTGTTCACTTTCGGCTTCAGGCTCTGCTTCCGTTGGTGCTCGTTGCTGAAGCCGTTCGAGGACACGAACGCGAGCACGCGTACCCTCCAACTCGATGTTTCTTTCTTCCAACTAAAAAAAAGAATTAAAGAAATAACGATATTACAAAAGAAAAAAAAAAAGAAAAAAAAAAAAAAAAAAAGAAAAGAAACTATGGTGACGAGGATGGATATTTCGCGTGTAGGATACACACCTGGAATCGGAGATCGTCGTTCTCCTCACGAGCCTTATCCAATCGTTCCGAAAGAGTTTCCGTACTCTTTTGTACCTCGTCCAATCTTTTTTGCAAGGCCTAGAAAAATGAAAGATAGATTGGTAAAGGAACGATCAACAACGTACGTGAAATAAAAGTGACATGATACGTTCTTACTTGATTATGGACAGTCGTTGTGATTAGATGCCGTTGCAATTCGAGGGGCGAGCTTTCGCGAAGTATCGCCGCTATTTTTCCAGAATCAACGTCCTTAACGTGCGTCACCCTCGTAGGCGAAACTAGGACGGAATCCAATGCTCCCAATCTGGCCCTTCTTTCGATCACGCTTGCTTCGATATCGATTTCACGTCGCTCATTGTCCACGTGGGCCACCGCATCGAGAAGTACATTCTTTTCGATGGTCCTCGTACGAAAACGACTTTTGTGGGTCTTAGAAACTGACGCGAAGGCCGACGATTTGCTCTTTATATTACTGACACTGGCACTTTTAGGTGTTGTAGAAACGACCGGCGCGATCGGTTGCAATCTCTGTGCGCCGGGAGTCAACAAGAGATCGGAGTCATTCAATTCGGCCTTCAGTCTGTCCTCGAGACCAGTCTTTAATGCCGACAGAGCGGCCAGTTCGGTTTGCAATTCCTGTGCACGAGCACGACTCGATATTGTTTCGGCCTCGAGCTCGGCAACTTTATCCAACAATTGTTCCTTCTCCCTTCTCAATACTCTAACTTGGGACTCTCTACCATTCGTCGTCTTTTCAATCTCAAGATTAGTCGTACCATCATTGGTGGCACTATTTGGATGTTCGGCGCTATCAAGATGGGTTACCTTTCTAACGGCTTCCAATACATCGCTCGATGCTAAATCCTCCGTGGTAACGCTCTCTAAACGACCTTGAAGACACTCGACCTCCTCTCGTAGCCTAATACCCTTACGATGTATAACATCTAAAAGATTCCATAGTTCATCCTCGGCCTCGTCTAATACACAAGGACGCGGGCTTGTAGGTCTTGGCGCTATCGCCGTTGAGGCACTATCCTTCGACGAGGTCTCCGTACTGAAGCCGGAATCCTGAACGGTAGCGCTACAGTTGTTCTTCGTACCGCCGCTTTGAGAATTGCTACGACTTCTTGGCAATGAAGAGGAAGACTCGGCCTGTTCTCTCTGTACGACGCGTCTTCTAACCTTACCAGGTTCCCATTCGCTAACCCTCCTAGACGATGGACTCGACAAAGGCAATGGTATATGAGAATTTTGGCTGGAGGACATCACGGACGCACCCGCCGACGCCGTCGCAGCCATCTTGTGCCGGAGGTTTGGGAACGTCTCGATGACGAGGTCCCGGAACTCGAGAAGGGCGCCGACCTCATTCTGCAACTCCTGCAGGGCCACCAACGATTTCGCTTGCTCGTTTATCAGGTAATGGAAAGGTCCCGGACGGTGGGGCATACAATCCATGCCACTAACACCACCGCTAACCACGACGTTTCCTCCGTTTCCAACGCTGCTTACACCGACGTCTACTACCCTACTACCTCCTACACCACCGCCACCGTTGCCCCTGACGTCACCACCGTTGTTGGTTATGTTGTTGTTGTTGCTGTTGTTGTTGCTGCTATTGCTATTATTGTTGTTGTTGTTGTTGTTGTTACTACTGTTATTGCTATTGTTCTTGTTGCTGTTGCTGCTGTTGCTACCGCAGACCACCACCACACCAACCTCCGTCGAACCTGTACCGCTGCTGCCGCTGCCGCTGCACTGCTGTTTATATGCAACAAATAATATTTTTACATTACTTTTTTTCCCCCTTTTTCTACTTTCTTTTTATTTTCTTTCTTTCTTTCTTTCTTTCTTTACACGCTCGACTGTACTGTCTAAGAGTCAAAGAATTTTTACACACTCTTTCTATCATTTTCAAATGTCGATATATATATATATATATATATATATGTTAGTTCATTATTAATTCATCAAAAGAATATAAAGTAGTATATTTTGAAACTAGTAAACAAGTGCTATCTTTATCCTTCTCTCTCTCTCTCTCTCTCTCTCTCT